GCAAATTGCTTTATGAAAACAAAATTCAAGGCATTAAACAGATAGAAAGAAAAGGGATAAACAGAGTGGGGATAACTTTCTCCTCACCAACTTTAGCCAATGACTTCAACAAAAATACCATAATTAAAAACCTTGGCTATGAAACATTTATACCTCTATCCCTAACGACATGCAGGGGTGTCGTGAGAGGATTGGGGACAAAGATATCAGAAGAGGAAGTATTGAGAACAGCAAATGAAGAGACTACAACGGGCATTAAGATTCTAGAAGTTAGAAGACTCACAGGCAGAATAGTGGACAGGAACACAAGGGAGGTATCGTATGGCTACAGGGACTTTTATTTTCACCTTTGAGGGAAAATCCTTCCCAAAGTATATATCAGTTTACAGGAACAAACTGGAAGTAAAAACTTATATAAAACCAGTAATCCTTTGCTTCAAGTGCTTCAGGTTTAACCACTCCAAAAATGTATGCAGAGGCAAGGAAAGGTGTGAGAAGTGTGGAAACAACGATCACCCAAAAGAACACTGTGCTATCAAAGAGGACCTATGCCTTTACTGTGGTGGAGACCACTTGATCACAGACAGGAAAAAAACAAGTAAGTGTCCTGAATATAAACGTCAAACCAAAATAAATGAAATGATATGCTGTGACAATCTGTCATACTATGAGGCAGCAAAAAAACTCCCAAGACCTGCTGAACAATCAGAAATTCAACTTATAGACAACACCAACTTCCCACCCTTGAGAAACCAAAATCAAAATTATAACCAAACAATAAGCGTTGGAGGTAGAAGATCACAAATAGCTGCAGAGGTCACTAGTCCCAAGTCTTCATACAAAACACTCCTGTTATCAAAAAAAAGGAAAATGGAAAATTCTCAACCAGGCCATGATAAGGAGGCCCATGAGGCCTGCCTCTTTCCCCAGCCATCCAGGCATCCTATCACACCCCTCCCTCCTACCCAACCTTCATCAGCAAGGGAACAGGTAGATAATCAAAAGGAAACAGCAACTTCTGAAATTTCAATGGATGAATACTTGAATAGCGAAGCAATTTCAAATGAAGATCTAATTAAATTCTCATAATGCATCACAGGTAATTTGATAAAAAGAGGTCTGGTCACGGCAGCCCTCAGCAACCCCAACTCACCAAATTTTGAACTAGCTGATGAGAAGGGCTCTAACGGAAGCCGCAGTGGTGGCCTGGGGGACTCGGATATGGAGACCTTCTAGCCACTAGGCGGAACCCCGTTAGTTGCCATCACTAATAAGAAGTGGTTTTTAAAACTGGTTCTCAAAACTGGTTTCCCAAAACTGGTTTCCCAAAACTGGTTCTCAAAACTGGTTTTCCAAACTGGATTCATATGAAAGCAGTATGACAACAACCAGATGAGAGTTCTATGACGGCACCCCTCACTATATGAAGAGAGAACTGGGACAACACCCGCCAGCATATACTAGTTTTCTCCCAACACAAAGCTGCAGACAGAAACCGTTCACTTTAAGAGGAGAGTTTCAACCAAATCGACATGCAGGCCTTCACTAGATGTTGCTATATGGGCTTATGAATGATTCAATTGAAAAACTGATTAAATCATCGTAATATTCGTATCGTAGCCGTCGCGTCAAGACGTGTTTTTAAAATCGTCGTCTGTACTTCGAATAAATAACTGAAATTTCATTCCGGAAAAATAAAAATGGTGCTAACTCGTGGAAGTAGTGAACCAAAACAGTATGCAGCGGATGACGAATCAACCAAGAGTCTTCTATCCGAAGAAATCAAACAGTTTTTCAACCAGCAACTGGGAATACACACAAAATCCTTGAGAGATGAAATATCGAGGCTACGAGAGGAAGTGACAATCTTGAAAGAGAGCAACATTGAATTAATCAATCTTTTGACAAACAGTAATAATAAAAGGAATGATTCAATAAAAATGACTAATAATGATCTGGATATATCGTTTTTGTCTAGTTCATCTGCTGATACAGTAGTGGAAGTAGTGGAACAATGTGAATCAAAAACAAAAACGGAGGAATTGCCGTTCACATTAGTGAAACACAAAAAAAGACGAGCAACAAAAAATAATCCAACAGAACTCTTGAACATAAAAGCGTCTTCACGTCAGCCAGAGCCGAAAAAGAAGGAGAAAAACGCTTCGATTGTGGGGACCTGTTCAACCGATGATGACAAAGATTTCAGTGGTGGCGAACCTATGCTGTGGTTATACGTAGGCCACTGCAAGCAGGAGACGACAGCTGATAAAGTTAAATCGTATTTAGACAAACGACACGTTGGATATAACTTTGAAGTTTCAGAATTGAATTCGGTAGGACGATTCAAGTCGTTCAAGGTAGGAGCTGATATCAAACTGAAAGATGTACTCTATCAACCATCTCACTGGCCAGCTAAGGTGTTAATCAAGAGGTTCAACTTTCGTAGGCCCTTTCGGAACTCAGACAATTTCTAATGATTTCATGTCAACAAAGAAAATCGAACGGAAAGGTCTCAATATATTGCATATCAACATTCAATCAGTAGCAAATAAAATTGATCAGTTGGAATTTATAGTGGAAAACAGAAAAATAGACATATTATGTTTGTCCGAAACCTGGTGTACTGAGAATAATATCAATACTATGACATTGAATAATTTCAATATTGCAACTCACTATAACCGGAAAACTCATCAACATGGTGGAGTTATCATTTATACAAGGAAAAATGTATCATTCAAGACAATCCATTTGCAAAAACATTGTGAGGAAATGCAAATAGAATTATGTGCCATTTGTGTTAATGTAACAAATGTTAAATACTGTTTGATTACTATTTACTTCCCCCCGAATGGGGACGTGAATACATTCATATATAGCATGACTTGTTTATTGAACGAATGCTTGAAATCATTCGAAAACATAATCATTTGTGGTGATATCAACATCGATAATCTCAATTGGAAACAAAATTCACAGAAAGAGAAAGAAGCCAAACTATTTAATGACCTCTTAGATAGTTATCATCTAAAATTCAAAAACTGCATGCCAACTCGCGAATTTATAGATAGGGGTGGAATATTTTCTAAATCTCAAATTGATTATTTTGCCACAAATATCGATTATTTGTCATTTGAGGAAAAAGTCGAACCTTTTCATATAAGTGACCACCATGGGTTGCTATTCACTTTGAATATAGATAATCCTTCAACCAATTCGAAATCAAAAACTATCATTGAAAAAAGAGTCTGCAGAGATTATAACATGAATCAACTGCGACATTTTCATTCTGCTGAGAACTATAGTGCTGTATATGATTGTACTCCGGATGTTGACCTCGCATACGAGAATTTCTTTCAAATTATTGCTTACAGTCTTGATCTAACATGCCCGTCGAGATATATAACATACAATGAAATATCAAATTCAAAAAATAATACATGGATTTCTGAAGAGTTGAAATTCGAGAGCAGACAGTTGAAAGATTTTTATAGGCTTATCAGAAATTCAAATGACCAATTCTTATGGAGCGATTATAAAGACAGAATGAAAAAGCACAAGAAAAACATAAAAAATACTAAAAAAGATCACTACCAAAGTAGATTAGTGAATAAGAGTGATGCACATGAGACACAAAAAGAAGTATGGAAAATCGTCAATGAAAAAGCAGGGAAAAATTCATCTAACAACTACCCCAAAAAAATTATCATAGACAATAAAGTAATAAAAGACCCTAAATCAATCTCCAACAATTTTGCGAAGTATTTTTCCCACACAGTCAGCGAAAATATCACTAAACATTTTGGAAATGATGCTGGAAGTGGTAGTACGGGAAATCATACGATGAATACTTTCTATTTTCTTCCCGTTGTCCCTGAAGAAGTGCTTACATCAATTAAACAATTGAAAAATACATCCTCAGTAGGTTTTGACTGCCTGTCCACAAAAATCATCAAATCAATAGCAGACTTCATTTCTGAACCATTATCATACATCATAAATCTATCCATTGAAAAACAAGTTTTCCCAAATATGTTGAAAATTGGAAAGATAATTCCTATTCACAAAAACAGTGACCATTTCTCAATAGCAAACTATAGACCTATCACAATTCCTTGTGTTATCAGTAAGATCATTGAAAGATGCATATATAACAAGTTATTCCCTTTTTTTACCAAATATAAAATAATAACAGACTGTCAAAATGGCTTTCATCCTGGTAGATCAACGGAGGGAGCAGCGGCAGACTTTATGGAATATGTGTACAGTCGCGTAGACCAGGGCAAGTATGTCGCTGCACTCTTCTTTGATCTATCTAAAGCCTTCGACTCTATTAATTTCGACATTGCCTATGACAAGTTATATGCCGTTGGCATAAGAGGAGATATGTTATCATGGATAATATCTTATCTCAAATTCCGCAAGGTTTTTGTAAACATGCCTGAAGCGAGATCAGATATGTACAGTGTTGACCTTGGAGTTCCACAAGGCTCGGTCCTAGGTCCGCTAATCTTCCTATTATTTATAAACGATCTACCATTTCACGTAAAATCTGAATGCATAGTATTATTCGCAGACGATACCTCCATCGCAAAGGAAGCCGAGAACCTTTTGAAACTCCAAGATGAGCTGAATTTAGTTGCCAATGGGTTCACAAATTGGTGTAAAAATAACAAACTACTTGTAAACTCTGAAAAGACTGTTCTCATTCAATTTTTTGGGAAAAAATGCGTCGACAAACCTCTGAATGTTACTGTGAATGATGCAGTCATAGCACCTTCAGATGTCACAAAATTCCTTGGTACATATATAGACCCAGGACTAACTTGGGGCAATCACATCGACTACGTGTGCAAAAGACTGAACACTAGTTTTTATGCCATACTGCAGCTTAAGAGTGTTTTGGATAAAAAATCCTTGATAAATGTGTATTATGCTATGGTACATTCAGTGCTGAAATACCACATAATTCTGTGGGGTGCCAGTAGTGACCTAAGTAGAGTATTTGTTGCACAAAAAAGAATTATTCGGCTAATATTCAACCTCAAGAGAACAGATTCATGTAAACCTTATTTCAGGGACAACAAAATACTGACTCTTCCGTGCATATACAGGGTGTCCGGGAACATGTGGGAAATCTCCCGGATATGAAGAAAACACGTGAAAAGAATACTATAAGTTCATATAAACTTCTTTTGTATCGGCCTCCTCTTCGGAGATATGGGCTCCCAAAGAGCTCCCATGGAATTAAGTTTTTGACACATAATTCTTGAACCAACAGGTATATTTCAATTTTTTTTTAATATGATGTATACTAGGTAAGACTCTTCAAATTACTATCCAAGAAAGTGTTGCGAATTACTCACAGCTCCAGGGACGGACTAGCTGTGACACTCATGGGCCCATTTTTTTTACGCCCTGTATGATAAGAACTCTGGACAACGTTTTTTACATACCTCTAACTATTGACTAAAAATTAAGTACTCTTCATTCATGTCGCTAATCATAATCGTTTTCGGAAAAACGTCATTTTATTTATATCATTTAGCGTAATTTTCCACGGTAACCAACATAGTTTCAATAAAAAGTTGAACTTTAACTGCTTAGTTAAAAACTTCGTAACAGGGTTCAACATGGGCTCCATGAAGTCTGATACACTCGCGAGCACGACGAATTGAGGACTGCTGTACCCGCCACAATAACCCAGCATTGTTCCTTATCACATCACAATGAAACGTGATTCTCCGTAGAAGTTCCTCCCTAGTATCGACCGGAGTGGAATACACCAAGGTTTTGAGGTGTCCCCACAGGTAAAAATCTAATGGCGTTAGGTCGGGAGATCTAGGAGGCCAGGCAATAGGTCCTCCTCTACCTATCCAACGGTTTGGATAGACGTTATTCAGGTGCTCCCGCACAGCAACGCTGAAATGAGGTGGTGCCCCATCATGCATAAAGTACATGTTTCGGCGGGTTTCAAGTGGTAAGTGCTCGACTAAATCATTAAAAGCGTTCTGGAGGAACTCCAAATAAAGTATTCCATTCAATCGTGCCGGCAATACGAATGGTCCAATCAAAAAATTGCCAACGATTCCTGCCCAGACATTAATTGATTGGAACTGATGTTGGCGATGCGAAACAATAGTGGCATGAGGATTTTCATCAGCCCATACATGGGTGTTATGTAAATTCATGATACCATTTTTGGTAAAACCTGCTTCATCCGTGAAGAGAATAGT